CTTCCTTCATCCGCCTGCTTCCCCTGAAACCCCCGAAAGCTGTCTGAAAATATTGCATTTTATATCAGCAAATCGCGATTAATATTGCATTACATGCTCTTAAAAATTCCTCTTTATGAATGCAGCCGAACGTGAAGCCCCACAAAAAAAAAATTGATATAGCCTATCTGCAAGTTAGGAGTGAACAGAAATATTTGAAGGGGGTAGAGGTCACACAGTGGTCATTTTTAAAAAGAAAATCAACTTTTCTTTTTCTTTTTCCCTCTCTCTCATTCTCTCTCTCTCTCACCCTCTTTCTCTCTTTATCATCTCTCTCTCTCTCTCTCTCGCTCTCTCTGGTGTCAGTGCTCAGTTATTCTACATTAAAACTTCATTAAATGTTGATTGTTGGGCCTGTGTCAATATAGGAAGAAAACTTTTTCCTTTAACAGCCTATTACTTATTAATTCATCCTATTTTATGTTCAGATGTTTAAATAAAAGGTAAGGACAACTAAAATACAGCCTCGCAATTTACTTACTATACCAAATAAATATTATAATATAGAAAAAATAAACAAACATTTTAAGTAAAACTTATATTAGTTTATATAATAATAATAATAATAATAATAATAATAATAATAATAATAATAATAATAATAATAATAGAGAAACTAACGGCGCAAAAATGTAAAATTATACGTATCTAACTTTCAAAAGTTAAACTTTAAACTTTAATATTATCCTCTAAAATTAGGCAAATGTATATACAACCATTATAATGAGTTTTATATCGCTGATTAGAATAAAGCTACGCCATTTAAAACCATACCAAACGCTTTATCACGTGGCCATAGTAATGCGTTGCACCAGCAGTAACATTGATAATCGTGTGCCGTGCAGGCCGAATCACAACCAGGAAAAGCACAGTTTTCTTTCTTTGATTTATTAGAAGATTGCTGGAACACACCTCCCTGTTGGATTTGGCTTACAGGATGAATAGTACCAATGAAAGTAAGAGGACAACAGAGGAGAGTGGAGAAGTTGTGAAAGAGGGAAGGAGACAGTGGGACATTTTCTCCATGATGCACATGTCGCCGCAGTTTTTGTAAACATACTTTTGTGCACAAAGTAAAATATTACTTACACAACGTTTCCGTAACAGTTAACACGACAAACAACGTGGTGATCTCAATGTGAAAACAGGCATTAAACAGTGACTTACACCATCCACAAAATAAGGTCTAGCAGTAGACAACTCTGCTGTAGGCTATGCAGTGATTCTTCTTCCAATGCATAGAGTGTTTGCACTGCAAACTGAAACACATGAAAGAACGAAAAACCCCTTTTATTGATTGCGATCTCTCCTTAATGATGTAGACAGAGCTATCATGCTCTGATCTGTCTGAAACTTTTCCCAGTGATGCCAATGGTGCAGATAGACCCCCTCCCCCTTATTAATTTTGTTTCCAGAATACAGGAGCTCACCTCTGGTAAGTGATAAAGTGATGTCTGTATATACAAACGCATTTCGACATAGTCGATCTAGAAACCTAAAGGGTCCTTTGTGCAAATTCAAAATAAATATATCTGCAGATGTGACAGCCCACACAGGCTAAATTACTTCCCGTGAATTAGGATTTCATGCAGGCCTGAAAAATTATTATTTTTCCGATAGCCATAAAAAGTTTGCAACTAAATTTCAGTTCGTAGCAGCCTCCAAATAAGAATAAATGAACGGATGAATAAATGAACAGTCATGACTTAGTCTATATCAACGACAGAAAAGATCAAACCCAAACCACATTTAACAATCAGTGAGGTAATTCGTAAATGGCTATACTTCAAAATAACAGGCCTATTCGGAGAAAATAACTCGCTATAGTATCGAGCAAATTACCTCTTTCCACAAGTTTTTTTCTTTTGTTTTCTTTTATTTAAAAGGCAATGTCGACGTCGCTAAACTTTTCCCTGGTAACATCTGAGCCAAGTTTGTGTAATCTGTTATTTGCATACTTCACATTCACCGATAACGTGAAAATAAACAGGATATATGAAGCCTCATAAAATGGGTATCTAAAGTCCATTGTGCACCAGCGTGTAAAATCGCTGGAGACAAAAGACTGAAAATGGTGTCTCGGTGTCCCTTGGTCCCCAAATTCAGTCACACAACTTTTTTTTTTTTAATTTTTTTTTAACTTCTCTTCCTCGCCCATCAGTGAGCCGCGGAAAATTTCAACCGCTTCTGCTTCTGTCTTTGGTTACAAAACCACACTCGTACCACATTTTTTTTCAGGTCCAACTTTTCAGCTATAGCTGCTATTTTCTCAGACGACGGTCGAGGTTGTACAGCGAAGTAAGCCTCCAAAGACCTCTTTTCTGGGGCTGCTATCGAGGTCCTCTTGCGTTTCTTTTCTCCTCCGTTGAAAATGTCAGGTTTGCTCATTTTTTCCCTTTGGGCCCCCTCGGCCTCTTCTAGCCAGGCCTGGAGGATGGGTTTGAGCGCAATCATGTTGTTGTGGGAGAGAGTTAAAGACTCGAATCGACAAATTGTACTTTGGCTCAGTGATCCAACGCCGGGGATTTTGAGATTAGCCAAAGCGCTGCCCACGTCCGCCTGTGTCACCCCCAGCTTGATCCTCCGCTGTTTGAAGCGCTCCGCGAAAGCCTCCAGCTCCCTTGGGTCTGTGTCCGAGTCATTAATGGAGGGAAGTCCGTTGTTTGTGAGCCCAGGGCCGCCTTGACCTCCCCCGTGATGGCCAGGTAAGAGCCCGTGGTGGGTGAGAGGTGAGTTCATGCTCATAGCTTGGTGGGAGAGGTGACTCAAACCGTGCATGTGAGAGTGCGGGTGAGCAGAGGTGGAGATGAGCCCACCACCGCCACCTCCGCCGCCACCGCCACCTCCGCCGCCCGCCACGTCGTGCGCACTGGACATTAAGCTGAGAGATGGCGAGCTGATGTGGTCCATAATGTCCGGTGGCTCCAGGTTCTGGTGGTGGTGGTGGTGATGGTGATGATGGTGGTGGGCTAGTGGCACGGTGGATGTCGACGAGCATGGCACCGTGCTCATCGTGTGGTAGGTGGCGTCGGGCTTGAACGGGTGCGTCTTGCCCTGGGACACGGCGATGTCCACGGCCGCCAAAGCCTCAGCCCGAGCCAGCAGCGTCTCATCCAGGCTTGCAAATATGTTACTCTGTAACTGCAAGAGGGGGGGATAAAAAAAAAAGAAAGACAGAAAGAAAGAGAGGGGGAGAATGAATGTTTTCAAAGTGAGTAAGAAATGGGAAAGGACGTGAAGAAAAAAGGAAGGCGACAGAAAAAAAGAAAAAAGCATAAATGAATCTGTCAGTCGGGACTTTTGGCGACACATAACAGAGTCGGAGTATTCCTTCAGAAGCGGCAAGTCATAAAAATTAATACAAAAACAGTAAAGCCCGGCGTTGCGTGAGCATGCTTTCAAAAAGATCACAGACTCTTCCAGTGATTGCTGTGGAATACATGAAAAAAACATTAAGTGCGCGTCTTGGCTGAATGTGCCTTGGAGCAGCCCTTGTTATTAGGCACAGACAGCGCTCAGTGCTGCAAGCAGCTTAGGCAAGTAACAAAAAAAGAAGAAGAAAAAAAACAAGGACAAAGCGAAAGTTTTCGGGGATGGTTTACCTGTGGAGTTTGCAGACAGGCTCTCCTTATAGCTTCCGAGCTGGAATGCAGGGTGGTATACTTGTGTTCGGGTAAAGAGGGATGCATGGCGAAATGCGGCTGTTTGCTGTTCATGGACATCATCTTGGCGAGCTTCTCCAATTAAAGTGCACGGAAAGAAGGGGGATAACGGCTACAAGAGCTAGAAAACAATCACAGACACAGAGTGATCCTTTGCCTATCCAGTAATGACGCAGTGTAGTTCGCTGTATAGTGCGCCGAGTGCAGCCTTGAGCCCGGAGATCACAGAGATGCCTGCAGTCTCTCAGACGCACTTATCTGTCTACTGTTTCCCACTGCTGGGGATGAGAGAGGCTCTTACACCTGAGCGCCTCAGATCTCGTCAAGCCCGTGCTCGGCTGCTCTCGCGAGACATAAACTGCCAGAACAGTGAACAGGCTGACAGATAAAAACTGCTCACAGGGCAGGCAATAACATCTGGAGACTGGATGCCTGCGTTTTTTAAGGGCTCACTCCTCTCCTCCCAGCCACAGAACCTCGCCGTTCCCAGTGCCTGTAGGCCTTATCTTTTAACTGGAGGCCGAATAATATTGACTTTATGCCGCAGAATTGAGCATCTGTCTATTTTAGGCTGGACGTCTGATTTCAGAAAGTTGTTTCCAATCGAGTATTAGGGAAAATATACACACAAAAACACGAGGTCTATATTTAATATGAAATTAATAAATAAGCAATTTTAAGCTTGTAGGCATCGGTATAGACATATTAAACTATTTTAATAATGTATTTTTTGTTGTAAAAGTTGTATGGTTTTCCAGTAGTTCTTGGCCCACAGTCCCATTTCTCATATTAACCCTTGGAAATACTGACACCGCCCCCTTTATCATTAGAGCCCATCATCGCCAGATGAGCACTAAACAAATTGATTTAATACACCAGTGTAACCTTGTACACAGTCTTTACCTAAATTAATTAATCCCAATGAATTAACACTTCATTTATTCAAACCACAACGGCTCCCCAATTAAAATTTCATGCAGCGATTAGAGGTATGTGAAATATACACGATATCGTCAAATTTGCATAATAAATAAGGCGCTTTCTGCGCCAATGGATTTAGTGTGCGTGGGGTCTCTAATGTGCGTCGTTACAGGCAGCATGTTTTGCAGTGTTGGTTCCACTTTCAGTGGCGACAAATTTATTACTGGTTTAATGTGTTGCAAAATTACCAGCAAAAATAGAAAAAATATGGACAGTGTGAGGAAAAAAAACAAATGTAACTGGTACACAACATATTAATCCCCAATGTCAGTGATGAGTTACTGGACCAGGCAATGCAAACCATACAGAAAGGCAAAATTAATTTTCATAATTTTTTGACTATTTAATGCATTCCCGTTTCATTTCCTAATATACATTACAACTACTAATTCAGCAATTTTTAATGACAGTCATATTCATCTGTCTTCAGTATTACAAGCCATTAGAAAGTCCAAAGACCACATTAGCAGAATACAGAAAACAAGGCTGAAGGTATACTTGGAAAATGTCTCAGCCCCAACTACAGTAGAACAAAACAGCATGGGTTAGGACTACAATGCGATCACCAGTGTGATCAGTGTGCATTAGCACATCACTAATGAGGCCTACAAGCACACTGCACAAAAACTATGACATTCCTATCTCGTTTTAGCTTAATTCTTGTAATATTACAAGAGACAAATAACAATAAGTTACACCCTAGCATCACACAATCACCATAACACTGTACCAAGAGTAGTGCACCAGGAACACATGTTTGTTTTAACATTTTTCACATGAGCTTTGAATGTTTGGTGGGACTGCTTATGGTAAAGGGACTGTGGGACTTTCTCTTTATTGGCTGACTGCTGTTCAGCGTGTGTCTGTCTCTTGTTGTGCTCACAGGCTGACCAGCAGTGTAGCCAGAGGAGGAAGAGGAGGGGTTTACAAGATCATGATCTTGGCTTGCTGGAAAGCCAGAGGGACCGGCCTTATTCTCATCCGAAGGATCAAACAGCAAATCAAAAGATAGCTCTTCGGTGTGAGAGGCCCCTCCACAGACGCCACTCTTCCTACCAGAGACTAATGCAGCACAACCTTCTTCTGCTGAACCTTTTGGAGTTTCTTTGTCGTTCAAGATGCTCTCCTTATTGTCACAAGGTTGGTGATTGTTATGCTTGTTGTGCGTCACTGGTTTACCAGCATGGCTTGACAAGGCATTAGGGAATGTTTGAGGCTCTGGAACTAGGGTGTTGTCCATATCTGTGGAAAGACAGGAATCAACAGAGAGCCCTGGACTACAGGAACTCTCACCCTCCAGCATCATGGAGTCCAACTCTGAGATTTTGTTCAGGTAGGCCACATCCATACAGGCCTCACTGGACATGTGGAAACTATCTGACTCATCAACCACAAAATTAGTGGATCCCTTGATAGAGCTTCCTTTACTTGAACCTGTACATGACTGGTCAGAGTTGGATTTGTCCCAGCCTGCCCAGAAGACAGACTTTGAGGGCTCCAAGTCATTTGGAGGCAAGCCTTTGGGGAATTTCTCAACACTGTTGAATTGGTTCTCCAGTGTGGTACTGCTCTTATCAGGACTGGGAACCTCTTCAAAATCAAGCCTCCTTAGATAAGACCCAGGTTTAAATGCAACTTTCTTCTCACGGATGCCTGGGCTTCTCAGAGTCAGGGAGCGGAAAGCAGATGATGGAGTACTGGGCAAAAAGTCAGAGGAGGTGCCTTCCGAGGCCTCGTTTTTCTGCTTTCCTGTCAGATTTTTACTGAAATCTTTGTGATCTGCGGATGGCATCAACATCAAACTGTGATTTCTAGAAAATGTGCCACATTCTGCCTCTGGATTGCTGCAGATCAACTTCCTCTCATTGTCACTCAAGCTTCTCATCATCATGTTGACTTTCTGCTGCTTTGTGAGAGTTTCCTTAGCAGCCTTGCAACTCCCACACGCTTCCTGCACTTCAAGAGATTTCTTCTCAGACACCCTGATCCGACTCTCCAGCTCATCAATGTACTGGTCACTGCGCTCAAGAGCCCTTTTCAAGTGGTCCACATCGCGCTGATACTGCTGAATTTTAGCTTCCAGTGCTGCGACTGTGTATCGGCCAAACCTGGCGACAGATCATTTAGTATTTAATTTAGAACAGAAAATTCAATACTTTTCAATATTTTTTTTTGTTAATCTTTGAAATGTAGTCTATTTTAAAAAAAAAATCAAATGTAGAAACTCAACAAAAACTGAGATATAAATAAAAACAACCTTACATTTTTCTTTTGGGGAGAAAAAGATTGTAAATGGCGATTTCACAGAAAAAAAAAAGGGCATCTATGTCACATAGGAGTGACTAATGTCAGCCTGGCTCTGGCTACAACATGAATCAAAAACTCAGTATTCAACATGCAAATCCTCATTATTAAAACAGAAGTAATCATTTTAAAATCTATAATAACAACCCAGTAAGCCAAGAACACATTATTACTAGAAGATGCTCAGCAGCAAGAGTGGCTGCAAGAGTGGACCTTATCGACTAATGGCAGCAATTGAGTATTACAATGAGAAAAAAAACCAAGGTTCCTCAATTGCAAAATTGACATAGAATAATATTTTTATCTTAACTGTGACTTAAGAAACCCACAAAGGTAGTTATTTACAAAACCTTGCATTGATTTGTAAGTCATCGTATCTTTAATCAAACTCCGGGCTTGGCAGATGTGAGCTTCTTGGTGGTTATGGAAAGTATTACAGTTTAGGATGCATATGTGCTCAAGCACTTCTGTCTGACTGCGCCACCTTTATACTGCAGCAGCAACTCACACCCAAGCTGCATGCTGGGCTGTTTCTCAACCTACTATTTAGTCAATGGCGCAATGTGTGTTGCCCGTCTTCAGTCTGCTCTGATCTGGTCTTGCCTTCCAAAACGTTTCCTCGTCTCATTTGTACCATAGCTACTCCTAACGCGCTGGTGTTACACAAACAGAGGTGCCATCACAGTTCCAGTTGATCTGAGCTGGATTCCAAATTGACTTATTTTAACCTGCTTATGAAAGTGTGATTTTTTTGTGTGTGTGATTTTAAGACTATGCTCAAGTATAAACCTAAAAAGATTCTTAGATATTGAGGGCAAAGGTTATACATGATACTTACTTCTGAGGAGATCTGCTAGCCACCTCTGCTTTCAGTCTCATGTTTTCTTGCACAAGGTCGACATTTTGAGACCGCAATGTCTTATTTGCCTGAAGGTGGTAAAGTAAACATTATCAAAATATTTCTATTATTCCAAAAAAAACAAAAAACAGCAAGTTACATTATATGGACAAAAGTACTGGACCACACCTGTTAATCTCCATCTAATCTAATTCAAGTATTTTCAGTCCCATTGCCAGAGGTATATTTTAAAAAATACATACAAAATAAAGCACCTAGCCATGCAGACTGCCTTTACAAACATTTCTGGGGAGAGCAAGAAAATAAAAATAAATCGTAAAAAATTGAATTTGAGCGTGATACCATAACAGGATGCCACCACTGCAGGAAATCAGTTTGTGAAATTTCTTATTTCCTGCATATACAATCGGCACAAAATTTGTTTGACGTGGATTTCAATGGCTGAGCAGCTCCCACATGTGTAATATGTAGGTGGTACAGAATTTTTGTCCATATATTGTGTGGTAAAACAAGTAATCGAGCGCAATAAACTTCGAAGCAACATCCATTTAGCTTTACTTGGAATACAAGAATCAAGCAGGTAAAAAAAATAATACTACCAGAACGCTTTTCCTTATATAAAGTAATAAATCGGAATAATTACATGCAATTAATATGTCTACTTTCAACTGTTTCATTAAAACACTCTTTAGACAACTAAAATACCGAACAGTGAACTAACTGCATCTATCAGAAAACAGTGAATTCCTGCTTTAAGGGTCAATTTACTGAAACCTGTAATGTCCTAAATGTTACAGGCTTCATACCTCTTTGAGCTTATCCATGTCTTTCTTTACTTTATCACAGACATCTGTGGCTGCTCGCAGCTTGTTTGTCCACTCCTCCAGGACAAATGGAGCGACCCTTTGTTCATCCAGTTGCACTATATTAATGCTGCAGGGATCCAAAGCAGTCTTCAGTTGCTCCTCCAAGCTTTGATTTTTGGTTTTCAGCTCCTCGTTTTCTCTCATGAGCCCTTCAATTTCCTCCTGTTAGAGAGAGAGAAAAAAAATGAAAATATCATTTGGAAATAATGATATCGAGTGAGATACTAATACAGCTGTGATTATACTTTTATTAACTCTTTTTTTTCTAAACGGCTGTAAATAATAAACATAGGAAAGCATACTAAACATAACAGAGCACGTCAAACCAATACCTCATACTCGCGTAAAATTAATTCCCCTCTCGTTTTTCTGAGACATTTTCTCACAGAAGGACTATCACTGTGATCACCCTCATTTGTTCCTCCTGTAACACAAGCACACAAGTACAGTAAATGATTAACACAATAGACCACAAAACACATTTAAGTAATGTTCCAAGTAATATCAGCTGGCTTTTATGTGGCTTTGTTGTTACCTTAGCACAACATAAGAGTAATAAAGAGGCAAGCGTAAAACTGAAGAACATTCAAGGCTTGAGGTGCTGCCATGTAAAATGCAGGCAAATTTATAGTGCACAGGGAAATTGTGACTGATTTTCACAAGAGAAGACCATCATTTGTAACATTCCTTTTAATAATTTGCTTACATGTTCTCTTTTTAGCACAAAGATTGTTTATTTGGTAAATACATCTTAAAAAAAAAAAAAAAAAAAAAAAAAAAAAAAAAACAAGACCAAATTGGGTTAAAGGAAATCTCTAAAATGATTTATCTCTTTATTTTAATCTTTTCACACGTTCCTGTCTCACGTCTTTATGGTATAGCTTCAACAAGGTGCTGGAAATATTCCTCTGAGATTTTGGTCCATGTTGAAATGATAGCATCACACAGTTGCTGCAGGTTTGTTGACTGAACATCCATAATGTTAATCTCCCATTCCACCACTTCCGAAAGGCGGATTAAGATCTGGTGACTGTGAAGGCCATTTAAGTACAGTGAACTCATTGTAATCTTTGAGAAATCAGTCTGAGCTTTATGACATGGTGTGTTATCCTACTGAAAGCAGCGACCAGAAGATGAGTACTCTGTGAGTACTCAAAGTGGTGCACTTATCAGCAAAAACACTCAGGTAAGGCTGTGATGCTTAAACAATTCTCAGCTGATACTAGGAGAGTCAAAGTGTGTCAAGAAAATATCCTATGTGCATTTACACCAACGGCAGCCAGAAAACAGTTTATACAAGGCAGGATGGATCCATTCATATTGTTTTCACCAAATTCTGACCTACCATCTAAATATCAAAGCAGAAGACTCGAGACTCAGCCAACAATTTCCCAGTCTTCTGCTGTCCCGCCGTGGTGAGCCCATATCAATTGTTGCCTCAGTTACTTATTCACAGCTGATAGGAGCGGCACCTGGTGTTTCATCCGTTTCAATGTTGGACTTATTGTGCATTCAGAGATGCTCTTCTTCACACCTTAGTTGTAGCAAGTGGTTATTTGAATTACTGTTGCTTTCTTGTCAACTCTAAGCAGTCTGGTTTTTCATCTGATCTCTTGCATCATTATAGCATTTTTAATCAGGGAAAATGGGACTCACTGGATATTTTCTCTTTTTCAGACCATTCTCTATAAACCTTACAGATGTTTGCGTGGGAAAATCCCAGCAACCATGTTACATTTAAAGTCACTTAAATTACATTTTCCCCCATTCTGATGCTCTATTTGAACTTCACCAGGTTCGCTTGACCACATCTCTGAGTCTAAATGGATTGTGTTGCTCTCATGTAACTGATTAGATATAGATATATGCATTAGATAAACGCATCAACAAGTGTATCTAATCAAGTGGCCAATGATTGATATTAAAATTCCAACGGTACAGGTGAAACAACTGCAATAATAAAGTCTTTGTTTTTGCAAGAAACAGCTCCGTGAATGACTGAAACAATCAAGTCTGAATCAAGTTTTTGGGGTTAAGCTTAGCTATATGTCTGCATGTCAGTGAGTACTGTCTGGTATTGTTACAAAGAAATCCAAACTGATCTGCCAACAAAAATAGAGAGTAAACGCTGGAAAACAGCAGGGTTGTATGATTAAAACTAAATACATAAAATTCATATATTCAAATATGCCTCACACAAGTTCAAAGGAAACCTAAAACATTTATTTTTCAGTACAACTGTCTTAGATATATCACCTCGTGCTACCTTTGCCTGCATAAACTGTAGCCAGTTTGTTTTATGGATAAGGGAATACAGTTTTACAGACTGCAGGTAAGCCTGCAGTAAGAAAATCAACAGTTTTCCAATAAGCATTTGGAAAGGATGGATCCCCCAGCCCCTGTCAAACGCTTAAACACTGCAAACAATGCTTGCGTTCATAAAGGAGTTATTTTTATGCTGACTTACTCTGAAGCTGCAACAAGCAATCTCACTAAATATGATCCAACTTGCTTTATTAACTGAAATCGTCAACTTGGGGATATTACTAACAAAACAAACGTCACGGCTCATAGAAAGTTGCCTGCAAAACTTGAGGCCGTGCTTTGTTGGGAGCACAATGAAAAGAAGACTCAGCTGTGAGATGCTGCAGGCAGGCAGATCACCTCTTCTCTTCTGCTTCAAGCCTGCTTTCCTTTGTTTGCCCGCAACTACTCACCGATGATTTCCCTGCAGGGGTTCTCTGTTGTGATGGGGACTCTGCAGGTGGGACACTGGTTAGCTTTCTTTAACCACATTTCCATGCAGGATGAACAGAACACGTGGTGGTTGGAACAAATAACCGGCTGCCTAACCTGCACCGAGAAAAACACGAGCAAATTAACCCACTAGCACAACCAAACACAACAAACAACGGTCACCTCCGTTTAACTCATGTAGGAAACAGTTTGCCTAGTTTGTTTACCAAACCATAGGCGCTAACGAGGAGGTTAAAAAATCGAACGACGCTTACCTTTCCGAGGCATATCTGGCAGGAAATTGGCAAAGTGAGAGAGAGGGTAGATGCCTGGTAGTTCAGAGCCATTTTTCATTAAAAATGTAACTCACTTCCCTGAAGAGGTACAAATCTCCCACCAAACCGCTGCGTCGCGCGCCGAGCCTCACAACTACAGAAACCCAGAGGGGTCAAAAGGCGGTACTTAGCGAAACAGGTACAGTTGCCCTTCACCCGTAATTTTATAATACTAAAATTATGTCTTCTTCACTGGGTTTGACAGTGAAGAAGACACACACAAGTATCTTGTTGTAATGTATTCTAGTCACGGCTAAACCAGGGCACAATAGCTTTATCACTTGCCAGTGTTTAAGCAAACTATTGTTATTTTAAACCGGAAATAGAAAAGCGTTAGGAGTAATGTGGACTCTATTTGATAAATGTACGTCCAATATTGATGAAGGCGATAAAACCAGACATTACACCTGTCTGTGGTTCATTCAGTATTGTATATACATACTTTATACATTTTTAAAAAAGTATTTTCCTTCTCCTGACTTTATTTTGCATATTTGTCATGCTTACATGTTTTAGATTTCAGAGACGTTTTAATATCAGACAAACATAAACTAAGTTACTACAAAATTCAGTTTTAATTGATGAGTTATTAAGGGGAAAAACTATCCAAACCTACTTGGCACTATGTGAAAAATTAACTGCCTGCTATCATAAATTAACTGTGATTAACCATTTTTTTTAAACATGCTCATGTTCAGTTTCACTAGCCACTGCCAGGCCTGAATGCTGCCAGACCTGTTAAATACACCACTTAAATGGAACCTGTCTGATAAAGTTGACCAAAAAGGCTCACACAAAGGCTCATCTCACAGTATCCAAAAACATCTTGATGATCCCCAAGACATCTGGGATAATATTTGAACTGACAGGACAACAGTTGGAAGTTTAGAAGGTTTTATGCCATTAAATGTGGCATAAAACTAACACAGCATTTCATAAAGAGAACATCACATCAACACTCTGCCTAACATGGTGGTGGTAGTGTCATGGTCTGGGACTGCTTCCAGTTCCATTGATGGAACCATGAATTCGGCTCTCTAACAAAAAACCTACAAAGAGAATGTCCATCCATCAGTTCACGCCCTGAAGTTCAAGTTCACTTGGACAGTGATCTAAAATGCAACGAGCGGGTTGACCTCTGAATAGCTTTAAAAGAAGGTTTGGAGTGAGCTAATAAGAAGTCTGGACCCAAATCAGATTGAGATGCTTTGACTGGTCCTTGCTGCTTGAAAACCCTCCAGTGTGTTTGAATTAAAATAACTCTGCAAAGAAGAGTTGGCCAAAATTCCTCCACAGTGATGTGAAAGCTTCATTGACAGTTATTGCAGAGGCTTGATTGCAGTTCTAGGCGCCAAGGGTGGCACAATCAGTCATTAGGTTTCCGGGGGTAAATACTTTTTCACACAGAGCTAGGTAAGTTTGGATATTTTTTTTCCTTAATAAATAAAGTCATAGTTTAAAAACTATGATTTTTTATTTTTTTACACAGCTTATATTTGTCTGATATTAACCTCCTAAGACCCAAACTCTTTCATGGCATGCATATTTAATTTCTCTTTGCTTTTTGGGCTGTTTGGGACCTGATGAATTTAAAAACAAAGAATTACCAGTTGCTGTTTTTTACTTGATTTTTGTTTCTGAGAAAAATGAGATCCACATATTAAATTTCGATAGAACAGTGACAGTATAATGTCCTCGTGAGTGGATAAGAGCAAAATTTTGTATTTTGGTCTAGACATCCCAAAATGTAATGTCCACATATGTGGACACCAGATCCTAGGAGGATAAAATCTGTTCCGCAAGAAAAAGAAATAAAAAGAAATCAGTAACATGGCAAATATGTTTTCACAGCTGTGTATACAAGATGGATGTGCCTTCCAGGCCTGAAAGATGAAACCACGGTTTAATAGCCTTAAACCTTTGTTGTGGCAATAAGGAGACCTCTCATCAGGTTTTAAACGAAGTTCAGTTGTACTAAAGTCTGTGGGAAAATGACAGTTTGGGTTCTCATGTCTGTGACCCCAGTAAACACTTTCAATCACTAGTTTCAGGTCTTATTAAATACATTATCTACACTATCTACAATATGTTCCCCATTAGAGCCAGGAGGCCTATTGCTAAGTTGAGAGCAATCTGCTGGTGCCTTGATACAGTATCTTTACTTCACATAACAGTTTGTTTAAAGGATTCTTTTAAGGTTGTACTTTATTAATTCCTTCTTTAGTTTGACATCATGGAAACCATGATGTCAAACTAAAGAAGAGAGATTTAAAAAATGCAATGTATTTTTTTTTTACATATTACAAAACATGTTTTACAAATGTTTGTAAGAACTCACTGTGGAGACCCCAAGCAATGAGTCCTAATGACTTTAGGCCTAACAGAAATGCATTGATTATTGGTGCTCCAAATAGAGAGCTCATTTAAGAAAGCTTGTATGTGTTGAGGATCCATTGATGATTACAACAACAGTACTTAACTTTTTTTCACATATTATAGGTCTTCTGTCTGAATTAATACATTGGGGTTATCATCAATAATTAGTTGGGAAAGCAAACCCAATTTAACATATCATCATTTTTTTTCCATATAGTTTAAAACGTGATTTCCTATTTTCAAGTTTACTATGTTGTATTTGGGAAAGTTGCACATCACTGCATTTTGCAATGCAAATATGACCATGTGTGCATATGATGCAAACTACAACATTTTTCTTTCACAGAATACACTCCTGGATTTGATGGGCAAGGCAGCTGTATTCCCTATAAAAATCTATAAAGCTACCTTTCATCCAGGGGAATGCTGAAATTTTGGATGTATAATTTGCATGCCACAGATTATACTGGTAAATTATTTTAAAAATGAACTTCCAAAATAAAGTCCTGAAAGAGGCTTCAATGGTTCAGTGTAGTAAGAAAAATGTAATAATAAAATATTAACTTTTCATACACACAGCAGCACAACTGCTTTCTATTTGGGTTACACTGTAAACAAATATAGCTGTTCTCTAGTAAACTCACTACACATTGAACTTCTGGCAAAACTTTAAGTAAAGAATGATTAACTGGGTAGAAATTATTAAGAAAATTGGTCACTATAGGTCAATACACTCCCAGTAAAAACAAGATATTTAGCTTCGAATTTCCATCTTTATAGTTTTTGTAAAATGATAATTCACAGCAGCGTACAAAGATCAAGGGGGATGCATGACAGAAACTAACTGCAAATTGAAAATCTCTTAAATAGATGCCACAAATATCTCATTCATTCAGTTAGAAAACGATTGCATTGCAATATTTTGTGATGCCTAAATGATCTAATTTATAAATAACAATACAGAGTGACCAAATATTAGCATAATATTCACTACAAGTATTTCAAATTACATCTGCCCCACAGCTTAGCCCCACAAAGCCATTACTCATATCTAAACCAACATGTCCTGTGCACATTGCATCTTAAGCCAGGACATCTTCTCAAGATCTAATATGATTAGAATTGACTGACTTCAAAATAACCTTGTACACTGATCCCAGTTTGAAAACATCACCAGTACTTGTTTGATTGTTTAGTGGTCTATTAGGTGGATCACAGGCTTCCATGTGTTCTCACTCATTTTTCATACCACCAGAGAACATTTGGAGTAAATGTACGTAATGAATATGTTTAAGTTAAATCAGTTAGAGAGCAACATCAGTGTAGAATCAATTTAAATGCCATTATTCAATGTTACTCTTCATTATCCCTAAACAATGAGAATATTTTAATGTATACAGACTTCTGAAGGAGAGGCAGCAGGAACATATTCAAATATTTTTAGTAACTGTATCCGATTGGACTGAAAAAAAAAAACAATGTGGATGTTATGTGCAAGCTTTCATATAATTCTATATTAATCCCTGCATTGAAAACAACTTCAAAGTACGCCTTACACACAAGATGCTGTCAGAGGCACTTTCCAGTGTGCCACAGCAAACCTGCAAAACTGTAAAAGAAGTGGTTAATGAATTTACTTCAGGGCAACTTGTCCTAAAATAACCAATATCAGGCCAAAATGAAAGAAATACCCATTGTCCCACTGCGATTGCTTTGCTTTGCAACAGGCCGGCCATTAATTGGTGACAGTCAATTAATCACAGCCGGCACAGACGGCTGCATCTATTGATCTTGTCCCAGCACTTATTTTTCATCCCTAAATGACACCGATTGCCATATTTGACCAGCATGTGTAATGGACAGTGAAGAACCAATGACCCAAGTGTCATTCTTGTCACTGGTCGGGATCTCGATCCCTTCCCCCATCTCTGGCAAATAGCATCTTTACCATTTAGCTGGGAAAGGTTTAGACTGCCCTAAGAGCACAGCAGCGAAACAGTGTGCTCTGGTGCTCAGATGACCTTTTCTGTTTAAGGCTTAATCTCTGACAAATGCTTGCTTTAATTAGCCTGATACCCCCTGCCTAGACTGCCTCCCCACCCTCCCTCTCTCCCTCGGCATGTAGTGTTCTGCTTTTCTTTCTCTCTTTTCAATTTGACTTTTGGAAATCCTCAAACCTGAAAAACCTTCCCTCTGTGTATTGCTATTTTATTGGAAAAATATTAAGTGTCTTTTTTCAACACATAATTGTGATCATGGGATTTCAGGATATCTTCCAGGATATTATTCAGCACACTCTAGTTTATTTAGCTCAATAATACGAAATAAGTGCACATAATGAATGTCTAGGACTTGAATTTGAAAGTGTGTCCACAGAACAAAGCACAAGGAAAGCAGTAGGTTTCAGGTCAGGATTTGTTGGAGTAAAGATTAGCCAGGGCACATTAGGAGGCTTAAGATAACACACAACAGCAACCTGCATGCCTCATCTATCGATCAGGCTCTATCAGAGACGGGGAGTGTGTGTATGTGTGCAAATTCAAGAAAACGACAGATGGTTTATGCTTTCAACAACCGTAAAGTACTCGAAAGTACCCCTAAGTAATGTCATAATTTAATATAGAAATTGTGTAATATTCGTAGAAAATGAATATGTCAATTGCACAAGAAGAATCTGATGCAGAGTCTTCTGATTGTCTAGATTAAACTGGGCAAATGTTGCTGAACTGTTTATAATACTGTTGAAATCAATTCCTCTCACAGCCTCTGCTTCACCCAGAGACTGCACAAGACCATGCATCCTTTCCACTGCAGGAGCAAACACAAGAAAAAGAGATGCATGGCTACAAATCCCTGTTTTATTGGAAAGGGGCCTAATTATTAGGATGTAAGTCAGGCTGTGACTGGAGGGCCGTCTCCTTGATGCGGGCCTGGTTTATATTTATCCCCTTCTCTGCAGCTACAGCAGCAGTGCCACCATCACTACCAGCAGTGTGTGGCGCTTTTATTACATCGCCCACAGGCAGGTTCAGCCCTGTCACAGTCACACACATTCAAGCATACACTCACACACACACAGCCTGCAGGACCGGCAGCCAGTTGAGTCCCCTCCACAGCAGAGTTGCCCTGCATCCCCATGCAGAGCCCCACATGGGCCCATGGGACAGTGGAGGGAGGGAGCGGGTATTATGGTAATACTATGGCCTGCTGCTCCCTTCCCCTCTCCTGCAGCACAGCTGGGAAAGACCATCATTACAAGTATTGTAGCAATCTGTTTAAGAGGGACACATTGGAGAGATTGGGTGACAGAGAGAGGATGAGTGCTGCATACATAGATCACATAAAATATGATTTAAATGTGTGTGAGGGGACCAGGAATAAAATGCAAAACTTGTTATGAACACCTTATATCAAGTCTACTGTCAGAATGGCCAGCTGTAAATCTCTATTTTCCCCTTTTTTACTTTTTTATTTTATTAAAGGTTTCTCGTGTTGAGCTGGTCATATCTCAAGATAGGGGGCCTGTGGCACATAAGGAATAAATAGGACATAAAGTACTTGAATCTCTAATGCCTCATATAGCTTTACCAATCCATATTGTAGTGTGTCACAGGCTAGAAATCCATTAGAAAACGTCTGAAATCAAACAGCCCTGAAATGGTGCGAACACACTGCTGTTAGGGTCAAATTACCCTGATTTCATGTACAAATTCACTAACCAATTATTTAAGGACACAAATCGAGTACAGGAGTTATTCCTGTGAAGGTAACCCCTTACATCGCATATCTCACCGCATCAGTTTGAATAGCAATAGGTTAATGATTATATATCAAGGACGTCTGATCAGAATAAACAGCCTACTCCACTATTCTGGGAGAAGATTAGACCTTTGACAGAGCAGTCACTCACTGTCGGATTAGGCTGCTCAAAGCCATCCATCTACTTGTCTTGTTTTGGAGCAAAAAAGAGCAGGCTGTGAATCAGAGCCTTCCTTAGACTCCATCATCCTCACAGCATTTTTAGGAAACAGAGATATCCATTACATCCTCTTTCTCACCCCCCCTTCTTCTTCCCCCTGCCCTCCTTCTCGTTCTATTTCCAGCTCAGTTTTGAACAGAAAGTTCGATTGATAAAGCGCAGAATCTATAAGCGCACGCACAGAGGTGAAGGGTTATTGAATATTCTGAAGACGAACTATTAAAAATGCATATTATCTCATTATTCCTGCTGCCAAATAACTCGAAACTGTATATGCCAGAAGATGGAAAATGGCTCTCCTTGTCTTCTTTTCTTGACCTGACAGAGGGCGCATGAAGAGGAGACAAGGGAGGGAGCAGAATGGTCTTTTAAAAACTGCTTCACTGCACTAATGTTCCTGAAACCTGAGCTCTTATTGGATCTGAAGGGCATTATAAGACAAGGCATCCTCCACCCTCTACCCCTGTTTAAAGGTGAGTGTATTACTGACTTCCTCACAGCAGCAGTTGGTGAGAACGCGCTGTTTATTGGTGATGTCACGTTATTTTCTTTTGTAAAAACAGCCACTGAGAGGGCTGGTGAAATAATGTTCAGAAAAGACATTTGTCAGCACTTACCCTCCCCCTGCGCCTCACTCTTAGCACACACACACACACATTCACATACTCTCTCTCACATGTGCACATACACACACATACACACACACCAGGAGGCCTTATTAATTATTTGTAGCCACTTGACTTCATATTGTGCTTCCAGTGGCTTGGTCAAAGATTATAATTACCACTTCCCTGTTTGTATCATTTTCCATCTCCTGTGCTTTTAGTGCAGTATTACTTCTCTTGTCCCCCTCTCTCTCCCTCTCTTCCTCCCTCTCTCCCCGTATACACAAGACCAAAAGTGCAGGCACATCATTTATTGATAAGACAAAAAGAATGTAATGAAATTATCAATGTTCTTGAATTAATTATGAACATGATTAAGAAAGCTAAAATCTCAGGAGCCAGTCTCTCATTACCCATTCACTCTTAGGGATTGCTTTCATTCAGGGAAGGAGAGGCGAAAAAGCCTTCCAGCAGAGCCCACTCCAGCTCAGCTCTTCTCCCCGTGTGCCTGTCCCCTTGTCTCTGCTTGCCAGGCCAGTTGACCAACCCTCCAACAAACCAGCCACCGGCCCGCCTGGACGGCTCGCTCGCGCCCAGGCTTGTTACTGTGAGGTAGTCAGACGCAGCTAGCTGCCTCGTGGCCTCTGACATTTGCGTGGAAAAAAAAAAAAACGAGGATGTGCTCAACTTTCCTCTCCTACACCTGCGATCGCGCTCTGGGGTCTCAAGGTAAGTGAAACTTTTGTCATTAGACTTAAACGGTTTAAGTTATCAGTTGTAGCTGTGTTTTCCACACATGTCTATGTGTCTGTTAACTGCTACAAGAAATAACTTTCACTATATCATATCAGTGAGAGTGAGTGCTTTCTTCATCTTATTTTACAGGGAAAATTAGAACAACATAACTATATTGCTAACTAAGAAAATACATTATGCATTACTTTCAGCAGACTTTCAGCAGCTTGACTAGAAAAACAGAATTTGTGGTAAATCATCACCTGTGTAAGACAATAGTAAAATAGACATTATAATGCATATTGGATATTACAAGTTAAATTAAGAATCTTTTACTTCAGTCCGTTCATTTGATTCTGTTTGATTTTGTCACACCAGTGTTACAGTGGCAGTCTGTAATGCCTTCTGCAGTGATTTAATTTAAGAGCTGTCTATTTCCACCGTGCAGTTTATGGTTGATATGAAGTGAACTGCTCTACCTCTATCACAAAACTATGCGCCCGAATAAATATGACATCCTGGTGACTAAAACAAAATGTAGTACATGTAATTTTTACCTTTTAAATAATCAATTGTATTTGCAATGATGCATTTGTGATTATGTTTGTAGAGCATGCCCACTTTGTATCAATGAGTGTAATTTCTCATGATGTTTAACTCATTTCAGCAGCTATTTATCCATTTATATTCAGTGAGAGCAACAGAAATGCTCAGCGAGAGCTACGTATATTTGGTTCACTCGAGCTTTCTTTTGCTCTGTCACACGGGACAGTATATGGGGCAATACTCCCCAAAGTATTGGGAGTTTCAAACAAAGTCTCTCTTTTCTGTCTTTCTAGCTTTCACTACATGTGCACACTCTTACACACTCTCAACTACAACCCTGCAAACACACACACACACGCTTAACCATACTGTAGATATAGAAATATAAACCTAAGCCTTTTTTTTTCTACTCACACCACAGTCCAAATAGAAATCAGACAAACCTACATATGGAAACACCACAGTATATTCACACTAATGTGCACACAGCTTATTCATCTCACAATGATTCGTGTTATTTTATGACACTCTGAAGTTAACCATTAAGTGATAACCAATTTAAGGTGAAATACAAGAGATATTCAGGCTTATACTTTTTACTGACAGCGAGAGCTTTGTGGGAAATTTTAAAAAAAATCCTAAAGTGAGATATGTGGAGCATTCCTTTTTTCTTTCTCAAGAATTAATATTATTCTTGACTTCTCTGTCAGAATTTAAAAAAATAAAAGACCCACTTGAAGGAAACAAAAACAAGAGAGAAAAGGAGAGACATCTTAGGGGTTAATGGCATTCCTCCTGTCCTAGCGATTGATCCAAGTATTGGATCGCCCATAAAGCTGCAGTTACTGGATATTACCCGCTATCGGCCTGCAGTGATGGCCTGGATAAGAAGTGCTTACCAAAGAGGATGCTCCTTCAGGGCAGATACAGTTTCCCAGCCCTCTGGGAACAACAACCACATGCCTGCTGCTTGCTCAGGAACTTTCTTCCTCATTGAGTAAATCCAGGGCTCTTATCAAGTTACTGGCCTAGTGAACTGCTCAAAAAATGTTTAAACCTCCTTAAATTTTTGAGCTGTGTTGGGAAAGAGCAGTAATCAAAAGGCACCTGTGTTTCATAGATAAGGGTGTTGATTGTTTGGTTTGGTTTTTATGTCGGATGAAATGGGGGTTATCGCAGATTCAGATCTGAGCAGAATGCACTTTTGCTGATTTTTACTGGGTTCACTTGCAAAGTTGCTGAGGAACCCATTACAGAACTGTATGTACTTAAAAGAAGTTTACTTTGTTTCCACCAGACATCGTTAACCTCGTCTTTAGTAATTACTGCAGTTGGTTTAGGGAAAAAAACCCTAAAATGGGCTTCAAGAAACTAGTCCTGTCTGTTGTAGTCTTCCTCGAGACTTGTATTGTGAATAGCCGATTCCAAGTCTGTGCCAAGGTGGGCAGCACTACCCATGAGCATCTGCTGTATGTCTCTCTGTGGTATTACCCATGAAGCACCTGGCTCACACCACACACAAGCAACCAGAGCCCAGATGGCAGCTAAGCAGGCTAATTATTTCAACACAAAACTCCACTGTCCCACACCGGCACTGTGGAGCCGCTTTGGCATTCTGCATCTCTGTCTCTAGATCTGCTGAAGAGGATGTCTGCCATGGAACTATAAAGGCGTCAAGTGGGTAATAATAGTCATAGACAGGCCCCCACACAGTGCTTGGCATCCAGATGTAAGGTTGGTCATAAGTGGTCTCCTTTAGAGGAACAGAGGCATTTGGCAACGTTTGATAGTGCATTGTTTTCGCCCTCATTGTTCATTGATGCAAATTCATGCTCATAATATTCCAGAGTTGATAACAGCATAAGTTTTTTTCAGTCTTTTTTTTTTTTTTTTTTTAAATCCACTCATAAATATAAGCACCTGGAAAATGCTGACTCGGATTCTTAACAGTATTCGATCGCAGTGGAAGCAACAGTAGCCAATTGTTTCCCCTCAAAAACATGAGCACAATAAGAATCTCTATTGTTTTGTGTATTTTCTTTTCATCCACGAAATAACTGTGACATCTCCTTCAGCCTCCCTGTTCATTCATTTATTTACGGTTATCCACTGTGTCCCCTGGTGGCCATAGAGAGGTGCTGTGACGTCTTCAGATGCCGACACCGACCCAAAATCATTCACTTACCTCCTCTGTAATGTTGCTGTATCATCGAGGACACACTGTGTCCTTGTTTCAATTACAGCAGCACTCCCAGCGCATGCACTACATCCTGTTTGTGTATGGCATGACAGGCTTAGCGCTGTCAATTCAATTTTCAAGAATCCACTGACACTTACAAGCTCTAAACTACTGCAGGTGTAGTGCACTGCAGGCTTTAACCAAATTACAGCTGGTCTGGTAATCAAGCTGTGTCAGTGTCTTTATCTAACATCAGAGGCTGCAGTTTCACTCTACATCCTCTCAGAGGTTGATGAAGTGTTGCCATTAGTGCGCATCTCCTGCCTCTTCAGCCACATCAGAGGAAGAATAGGTTGTGCTAGATAAAGCTGTCACTTAGAACAAGGTGCAGCGGCCACAGTGATAACCTACTGACTCCATCATTACAAACTCCACTAGTGGGAGGACGGCCAGTATCTTTATCTACTGGTTCTTGTTGGAGAACTATATTGCTGCCTGTAGCCATTGTGTTTTGTATTTTATAGACATGAAAAATATGGATTGACATGCAAAATAAGTAAATCAGGAGAGCGGTTAAGCTACTAGGCATCCACCACATGCTTCTCATCTCACATTATTTATTGGAAACATTAGAATTTCCTGCAAACTCTGTGCTGTGTGCTTTTTCTTATGTTTTGCAGTGTTTGAGAACTGAAATATTTATAAATGTCCAGCACAATAAAATATTTCACTATCTTCTTTAATGGCTAATACGATGTAGATATCTGGAGTTGGTTGTCAGAGAAGTCAGAACATTTACATTCAAATAAATACATTTATTGTTATGTCCAGCCACTAATTACAGTTTTTTACGTGGAAAGGAAATTGCTAAACTATTTTGTAGACTCAAACTCAGAGGCAAATTAGCTGAAGTAAAGCAATAAAGACTCTAATTTGTCCCAGTACAGTTCTATCTCATCCTTTCACCCCCCCCCCCCCCCCCCCCCCCCTCCTCCTCTTTCCCTCTCCCTAAAGTGTATCCCATCTGCTTTGGGGACCTCTCGCCAGCATGCGAGAGCAGGATAAGCACACCATTTCCCTGTCAATACTTTGCTATTAGCCTCTGCAGATCCATATATCACTGAGCTGTAGGGTATGAGCTGGTGTAGGTTGTGTTCTTCTTATCTGAATGGCCAAGGCTGGGGTTCTCCTCTCTGCCCTGCACTTTGATTTATCCAGTCAGTAGGTTAATGAGAGATAGACGTTGGCCCTTTACTCTTACCCTGGGTGGTGGAGGGGCATGTACATGTAGACCAGTAGGATAGAGTAAGAAAGGCACCACATAATGTATTGTAAGAGAGTTTTCAATAGCAATTGAACAGTGGCAAGAAAATGTATGTTAATCCTTGGAAATAGCTAGTTTTCTAATTGAACTTTTATTCATATTAGACCAGTTTTACTTTAATCTTAATAGCACACAAAAGCAAACATCATGTGTATCACTTAAAACGCTCATTGAAAAATTAAGTAAATTGCAAGAATCTGTGACTCAGATGTGTATTTTCCTTATAGCTCTATCTCATTTCTGCCATATTTAAAAGTTATTCTTTGCCGTTAGCCTGTACTGCGTCTTTATCTTTAGTTTTAGTCTCACTGAGCATTCTGATGTTTAATTCATTTGGACTTGTTCAAGTCCAAGATCCAAACTTTTAACCTTTTTTTTTTATTTAACAAAAGACTAAGTCAAGAGAAAAATAAATGCTTAAACGATTCAGCTGTTTTGTTTATTTGTTTGCTTTTTGTTTTGTTTTTTATGTACCATTTGTATTAACAGTTGGTTGGCTGGTTTGTTTGTTTGTTCATTCATTGGTTGATTGGTTTGTTGGGGGTTTTGTGTCATTGGTCCAGTTGTTTGTTCATTCGTTCATTCGTTTGTCTGAATGGTCTAAAGTGGAGTTTGGTGAATAGCTAAGTGTACAAGTCAACTATGATATTTGTGCTAACAACCATGATGGTACCTGCTCACTTTAAATGCTGAAAAGAGTTAATGCAAACTATATCTATAAAATGTAATAACTATATATGTTGTTTCGACAGCAGATATTGGGGCTGACAAGAGTGTGATCTATGGTGTAATTACAAGCCACCTGCAGAGAAAGGAAAATTATGGGTCTCATGACAACACCGTCTGTGGCAGCTTACACCTTAACTTAAACGCTATATTTATTCATATTCATGGACAAGATGAGTATGATAAGTAGTGCTAACCCTAAAATGAGATATGTTGCCT